CCCTAAAGATAACATTTGTTATGAATTAGTGCTATATCAATTAACTGAATTGCTGTGCTGCAAGTGTAAAGATGTTTACCTTCTCTCCTTTGCTTCCCTTTAATCCCCTGACTCCATCTGCTCCCTATTAAACGGGGAAAATGAAAAGGATTTAGAAAACATAGAATAACATCAGTGGCTGGTTTGTACAGGAGCATCTGGGGAGAAAATATACAAAACTTCAATGTGCTGAATACAATCACACGTTTGGCTTAGATCTTTATTTACAAAACCCTGAATGTTTTTCAATGTTTCTCACATAATAACCCAAGACTTTGATGGGTTTTATTGGGATTTAATATGATTAATCAACACAAATGGCTGAAAGTTTAAAGTTAAAGGATTGTTCCATTCCCTGCTGAAAACAAAAAAAGGAATATTCACAAGATATTGCTGCTGTCATTCATGTCCCGCCACATAATTCCAGTGTTTTTTTAGTTATAGTTGAGGGTATCATCTTTGTTCTTATCTCATCAGAGGAACATCATTCATACATGTATGTTTGCTGTGACATTTCTGTGACAAACTGCCATAAATACCTTTAAGAGTTGTGTTTTAAAAATTGTTTCCTCTAGCAAGTCTTGGCAGGTAAGTGATTAAAGTAAAAAGAGGGAGATTGGCACCTCACACCATGGGCATCTCCTCTTCCGGGGGCATCAAGAGCATTGTGTTATTAAGCAGCATCACTGTGTGGTACTGGGACAGCACTGAGCCTCATTAAAATGGTTAATTAATTCACTGTATTTATCTACCTCATTTGCTTGTGTTATTTCAGTAAATTTACTTTCTTTTAGTATTTATGGGAAATATTTTGTTCTTTGCATCATGGCTCATTGAGGCTCAGCATTTTGTCTCTATGTCTCACTGCAAAACTAATTAAGTTGAACTAAATGAAATGTTATCTAAACACCATAGATTGTAAAGTGAAGCTATAAAGTTGTTTAGAAATAGAAACAACAAAAACTGAAGATAACCAAATACACATATACCTAGCTAAATAAAAGCAACTAAATTAACTTATCTGCAAAGATCATAAAAAAAAGCACAGTTGGAAAAGAATGTCTTCAGCTGCCAATGTAAAAAACAAAGAAGTTACTGTTCAGTGTGCAAAACTATCATCCCTCAGACCTCAAGTTCATTTTGGCTTAAGGATCTACAGACTGGCGTTGGAAAATAAGACTTTTACAATAAAGTTGAGCCTGGATTTTGAAGTCCTGCATTCATAACAGTTTTGCCCAAAGGTGGTGACTCTATTCTAGAGGAGGTATTTATTTCAAAATCATGAAATAAATACCACCTTGTATTTTTTTGTCTGATCTGTCATATTATGCGTACAATTACCGGTATGTCTAAGTAGATTTACAGTCATGTCATTCTTTTTTCGTTTATGGGTGATGGATCTATGAGTTGTTTAAAGATTATGGCACTGTTTGGAAGTCCTGTTACAGATTTTTCCACAACTATTATTTGTGATTCTTGATCCTATAGCGATGCTGTTTGTTCAGTACTTTTCTGAGAAACTCTTGAGACTTTGATAGAACAGCGGATATTATACAGAAAGTTTTAATTCCAGAGTGGCTGACTCTATTTATCAGTTAGTGCATTTTATTTGGGATGTAAAAAGAAATACATGTCTGCTTTTCTGATTTTTATCAGTAAGAATGATGAAATATGAAAAAGAATTTAAGATGCTTTAATGCTTCTGCAAATCCCTGTAAACCTGTCTGTAGAGAAAAGAGGTAGAACATTTTCCATTTTACAATTCCTACCTTTACTCCACGTTGTCCAGGGTATCCAACAGGTCCTTGCACTCCTGGAGGACCCTAGCATCAATCACACAAATAATAATAAAAAAAATCTACACTCCAAACAGCTATAACATAAAACTACAAACAAATATACAGAGCCTTACTGGCAATCCCTTTTCACCCGGGGAGCCTTCTCTGCCAGGATGACCCTGTAGACAAGCATATTTGTTATGGTGGGAGTAGAGCTTCAGGAATGCATCTATGATCTGATGAAGTATAGAACCTGAAACATGTACATACTGGAGGCCCGTCGTTTCCAGGTAAGCCCTGCATCCCTTTCTTCCCTTGGGGTCCCTGCAAGAGAAAGCGATGAATTAATCCACCAAGAAATCCAATCCTAAAGAAATCACCAGCTAAGACTCACTTACCTTTTCTCCTGGCAGTCCTACTAACCCCTGAGGGCCAGGAAAACCCTGCAAATGCAATTTGATTAAATTTTAGATCGATTTTCTGTAATCTACTTTCAGCATGTTTTCCTTTGGGCTCATACAATGATTCCAGGGTTGCCTTGCTGTCCAGGTGCTCCAATTTCACCTGGTGGTCCCTGTTACAGGAAAAAAAATAAATATGTCAGGCTGTGAACTTATCAAGCACCCTCAGGGTATCTTTATCATACTCACTATGTTGCCCTTTGAACCTTGCATCCCGTCAATTCCACGAATGCCCTATGAGCAGAGACAGGTTGACATTTAAACACAAACTGACATTTTTTTCTGTATCCAAAATTGCATATGGCATATTTTCTGATAATTGGGCTTAAATGCAACAGTTTTGTTGCATTGCCTATTATTTTTTTATTAAATCATTTTAAAGCTATGCTAGGAACTGAATTAAAATAAGAAGATCTTAAGCCATTTATGGCTCAATCAACCAGCATCCAGAACGACTGTGTAAAATACACAAAGGAAACCCGTGTCTCTGATGCTGAGCAGTGTTTATTCATGTCTGTACAAGCATGTTACAAACTGCTAAGGAGAGCGCTTCAGGCGAGTCAGTCATTTTCTTAGATAAGATAAGAAATGCATAATTCACTGTTCAATAACTGTGATTAGAAGGTTGACACCAGAAATGAATACTCCTGTCAGCAGAGAATCATTGGTTTCTAATCCAATCCAATCTACTTTATTTATGTAGCACATTTAACAAGAAAATGTTTTCAATATGCTGTACATAAAAACACACAGAAAGGACTAAGACTTTAAAATGAATAAATGCGTGAATTGTAGCTACATATGCAAATCCAACAACAAAGTCAATGGAGTTCAGAGTGTGTGAATGGCTTGTGTAGCTCTAACTCAGTTGGTATAGAAATAGTTTACACTTACCGGCAATCCTTGGTTTCCAGGGCGACCTCTGGGGCCATTCAGACCTCTGGAACCCTTGAAATAGACATAAATGTTGATAAGTTAAAGGGAAGTCCCATTAAGGAGACACAATTTAAGTGAGAAACCTAATAAGTGAGAAAATAATCTGCATATTTAGGCTTTTATGTGTAAGATAGAGTATGTAGAACTATCAAATTCTTCATCTAAACCTAATCTTTTTCCACCAGGTTTATTTAAAATGCAGTTGAAATAGTCAAGACTTTGGCTTAATGATTTATGACAATTTATGTCTTTGTTTTCAGAGCAGTTACAGCTAAATGTTGGTGGGGTTTTTGGAATGGAAGCAATAAACTTGCATTTTCCATAGCTGAATAAAACAAAATCCACATGTATCTTTAAACCCTGTTGATGTGAACAGTGTGCGTGCACATATTGGGTCAAACGTGCAATATATATTTCTATATATATTTCCTAATTTATAAAGCACCCGGAGGTATTTTATTTTGCGTATTATAAATTATTTCCCGATCGATCCCAAGTACTGGAAGGACCAAAGGTTAAATCCAAATCACACATATAACGTATTCAACACGAAGTTGAAGTCTTTAAAAAATATATCTTATAATTTTTTTTTGTCGCTTGTGGTCAACATTTAGTGTATTTAACATTTGAGCCTTTGCACAGCTTGTAAAACTGGATATGTGATGTTTATTATTATGCTGATTTAAAAAAAAACTCTGATTTCCCTTATTTTATAATATACAAAATAATATAATATATTAAATATCCAACTAAATGAGACTTTACTTGCTGCTGAATCTTTCTCTGTGTTTTTGTGACGTTACAAGCTCTGTGCTGCAACAGCTGAATGTTGGTGTTTACTGAACCAGGTGCTTCAGCATCAGAAGCTGGTAAGTTAATGGATGCATGCTAAAGTACTACCAGCAGATGGTGATGGTGTACAGCAATAGTAATGTCTGCTGATCACGCTTTATTCAAAAACTCACTTGAGACTCAAATAAAGACTAATTAAATGGTATGAGGATGAACCCTTGGAGCATATTGCTTTAGTAACCTGAGCATATGGTTTTTGGTGTACGTTACTGGGCACCTGGCCTCTAACACAAAGCTTCCTGACAGAAGAAAACCTAGGGAGAGAATTGTGGACCTGTTAATCCTTGAGGAAAGAATCAGAATCAGAATGAAACACACTTTAATAATCCTAGAGGGAAATGACATTTGTTACATGCTCCAGATATACAAACATTTTTATACATATATACACAATCCAAACAAAATAGTATAAATATAAATAAATACATATATAACTGTATATATACATATATGTATATATATATATACATATGTATAACTATATATCCAAATAAAGTGATAGTGACGTTGTGCAAAAACAGTGCAAAGAATGAATAAATGTCAATTACAGAGGGGGGTGTCTGAATCACTGAGTGAGGCGTTGTAGAGATTGATGAACACAGGCAGGAATGATTTCCTGTGACACTCTGTGGTGCATCTGGGTCATAGGTAATTTCAAGGAAAATTTCAAAATATTCCATCATTAAACTGTTAATGAAGCATATGTGTTCCAAATGCATTTTTGGTGAAATGTTAGATTCAATCCCAAAACCATAGCAACAGAACTTTTGAAAACTCTGACTGTAGATGGTGAGACCGTCTTATCATCCAGAGTAAAATTAGCCCTGTAATGACATGGGCTGAAAGGCCACTCAACCATGAAGAAGCTCTTTCTTTAGCAAAGCCAGAAGATGTTGATTGTCCTGTTATTTGATGAACCTTAAGTGTTTATATTGACCATTATTACTTTGGATGAAGTAGAACTTTGGAATCCTGATAAATCTATCCCGATTCTGATGTATGGGGGAGGCAGCATTACCATGTGTAGATACATTTTCATATGAGGGGATGTTATGATCTGCATCCAATTCAAAATCTAAAGCCATATCTAAAAAGAAACATGCTAGCCTACCAATTGGACTCAGTTACAGTATTTTTTTTTCTTGAGGAATAGACCACCAGTTGTTCCTGGTACTAAGTATCCAAAACATGATCCTTTTTGAATCCTTTTGGTTGCTTGCACATTCGCCACAGCCAGTCACTATCACTTGATCAAAGACTTTTTCAAAGTCTTCACACCAGATGCCATTCCTGATGCAGCTTAGTTTACGATCCGTCTGCATCACAGTCAAAGATTTTGACTACATCACCATGAAAAATGGTACTTAGAATGAAATAATCAATTCCTAAGGGCAGGGGAGCGGGGTGTTTGGAGCTGATGTGGGGACTGAAGGAGTGAAACCAAAGGGAGGCCCAGAAACAAAAAGGTTTGGGAACCACCAAGCTAGGAAGTATAACCTTAGAAAGGTTACATTGGTAACATATTGTAAATATAATCTGATTTAATATCAGATACTCAAGAAACAAAATTTGTATGTGTTTTTTTTACATCTGGTTTTTCTGTATATTTAGTTATGATCTATTTCAAAGATAGATAGAGTGAGGATAAAAAATCTTACCTGTAAATTTTTCTTTAACTTTAAACAAGCTTATATAAATTGTATTAAATTTCTTTGAGAATTAATAAAACAATGTTAAAATGTACAAAGTAACGGCGTAACCATCCTGATTCCTATATTTTATAATCTTTTAATGAGGAACCTGCAACAGAACTGCCTTTGTTTTCTTAAGCTGGGTTTTTCATTTAATTGTTTAATTCATTTAATAATAACAGAAAAACATGTACTAGCTGAAAGTATAAACTCTTAAGTTGTTGATATAAACATAAATATGTTTCTCTTTAAACACTCACAGGATCACCTGGTTGTCCTCTTGGCCCCGGTGGCCCCTGGGAGCCCTATAAATACACAGATGAACAAAATCAAATAAGTCCTCACATAAAATCCTTTCCATTGTTATAAATACCTATGCCATGATACCTTACCTTTTCTCCCAGCTCTCCTGGGGGGCCTACAGGTCCTGGCTTCCCCCTATCTCCCTAAAAAGATATTACAGGTAGATGATTGAATTGCAGGCTTGACATCCCTCACTCATTCCAGGTTATTTCTGTACCTTGTGTCCTTTATTTCCTGGGAGACCAGGTAAGCCATCAAAGCCCCGATCTCCCTAATAAAAAATGCACAACAACAGGAGTCAGACCATAATTCGTGAAAGCTGAACAGGCAGGAAAAGAAACGTGTGTCTGCGGCATTAGTTTACCTTTGCTCCTGTTTCTCCTATCGCACCACGAGCCCCATCTGAACCTCCCCGACCCTGATAATAAACACATAATCGAGTAATAAAAATATGACAGCAGATGATAAAACATTTGACACTAATTTTAAAAACTACTCAGTGGAAGACGATTGCGATGATAAGAACAAAATTGGCAACAAGTTAAATATCCTCACCCGTTTTCCCGGTCTTCCATTCTGACCTGGAATACCCGGCAGTCCTGGAGGACCCTAAGAGAGAGAAAGGTGAGTGCATAACATGAGATAAAACACTAAAGGCTTCAAAACTCATCTCACCATCGCTCCCATTTCACCACTGCTGCCTTTCAGCCCCGGGGGACCTGATGCACCCTGAGAGAAATAAATAAAAACACAAATAAATAAATTAGATTAAACTATCACAGCTATGCTAAACATGTTGTGTCTCAGAGCTATAAGATACATATAAACATGGAATAGAATATGAAACATAAACAATAGAGTAATGTTAGACTGATAAAACCCTGTTTTCAGACTATAGTCAGAGTCACTGTTTAGAACTCCCCAATAAAGGAACATTCTGTTACCCCCTGATTGTCCCCATATCAAAGCAATCCTCTAGAAACACCAGCTCTGTTCATCCCGTGACCACACCAGTCTGCCCAAGGCGGACACTACTGAATGCCTGACTTGCTACCAAGAGACAATTCTCTTCTACATTTAATCCAAAGTTAGGTACTGTGTGCATCCCAAACATGGATGGTTCTGGACAAAGGCCAACATGGGCCAGTGCCCCTGTAGAATTTGTCATGGCTCGTGTTAATAAGACATGATTGTAAATCAATTTCTCATGATGATGGCATAAGGAATATTGGCCACTCCATATGTAGATCCTTTATGGAGCAGCAGGTAGCCTAAAGCACCTGGGAATAATGGTCTTGTTCAGGGACCCACAGTAGTCAACTGTGGTGTATAACTTGCATACTTGCAGCCCTCTCAGGTCTCCAGTGCTCTGCTCTAGTCACTGTGTCACTACTCAGGAATGGGCTGTGGCATTTTTAGCTTCAGGCATATTGAGGTAACATCACCTGGTCCTGAACCACCACTGTTCCAATAAAACCAATGTTCACAGCCAATGGCAACACAAACAGGCAACATTCATCTTTTTTTCTTTGTTCCTTTCTTTGTTTGTTTCTTTCTTTTGTTCTTTCTTTGTTCTTTCTTTGTTTGTTTCTTTTTTTCTCTGTTCTTTCTTTCTTTCTTTCTTTCTTTCTTTTTTTATTTATTTATTTATTCCTGGAAGACTGGAACTAGACATCCATTAGAGAATGGATGAAATCAGCCAGGCCTTGGCAAATTATAATTTCACCTTTATTCAGGTAAAAAAATATTTCTATCTAAGGGAAACCAGCTGACTGCATCGACTCATTGACTATTTCCAATCCCTCATACCAAGCATGCATGTGGTGACGGTGGAGAGGAAAACTTCCTTTTATCAGGCAGAAACCTTCTGCAGCACCAGGCTCAGTGTGAGTGGCCATCTGCCAAGGCCGACTGGGGTTCAAGGGGACAGAGGCAAAAAATGACATGAATGAAATTAATTCTTTAGCACTCAGGCCCTGGCAGTATACTTTGATGCTGTGGTTCAACTTTAGCTTCGCTGAGTAACCTAGGAAACGGATTAGAGTAGTCTTCCCCTGAGGCCCGGACAGTGACGGTGGAACAACCCAGAGGATGAGTGGGACTGGATAGTCTGAGACTAAGGGAGGAGATGGGTGAAAGTTTGCTTCCGTGTAGGAGAGAAAAACTAAGCCAGGAGCTAAATGAAGAGAAACAGGAAAGATGATTGGCCTTGGAGAAGGTGTGGCTCTGACTTGATTGGCTGAGGCTGAACAAAGGACATCGCAGGTGGTTCAGGGGAAGCTGATAAGAGTATTCCAGATTGAATTTTTGCTTAAGCTTAATTTAACAAAATATTTAAAAACAAAAAAGTACACATGCTGTTGTATGGTCTCCTGATTTCTTCCCATGATTGTATACTTTCACAATAATTACAAACTATATAGAAACGTACATATTTCTTTGCATGTATACATTTTAAAAGAACACAAAACATTTCAGTATTATCAAAACTATCCATGTTGACAACACTGTTTTTTCTAAGGTTAAACCCTAAAACTCTATTTTTACATTTATTCATATGATTTTATGGAAAAATAATACAGTATTGTGTTTTATATGATTTTATATTTGGTTTAGAATTTGAGCTTCTAATTTATAACAGTTCCTAAAGATTTCTGAAGGTATTTCAAAGCTTTTATAGGAATGTAGCTACATTACAACAGATTATGCCGAGTATACTGAATCAATGCGGAAAACCTAAATAAAAATCCAAGAGCTGAAAAAGATTCTCATCCGTGAATCATCGTTTGGTTGATCGTCTCATGAAAACATTTTATCAATTAGCTTTTTGAAAATCCCCTTGTTACTTTTAGGATACTGTTTGTTGCCTTTACGTCTTCTATTATTTTCATATTTTGAGAGTGTTTTTATTCTTGTTAAAGACTCAATCATAGACCCAAAAGATCGTATATATGCATTTATTTATTTTTTTTATTTATGTATTTATTTATTTTAAATAAATAAATAAATTATTTATTTATTTATTTATTTATTCATAGTTCACTGGTATGTGATCCTTGAGTTTGGGTGCCTTTTATGGATAAAAGAGATAACAGAAGTCAAAGCCAAGTTGGTTTTAAAACAAGCAAACAAAAGAAGCAGGAATATTGTGCTGTAGCTGAGGAAAAGAAAGCAGCAGTAAAACTTTAAACAGCCTGAGGAAGTGTTTGCCCAGACAAGCTGTTCCCAAACTTTCAGCTTCTGACCCACAGAATAACAGTGGAAGAGATTTATGATCCTGATAATCAATAGATTATACAAATATTTCCAATACGTCATTTAAATTTGGTAAAGGCTTCATCCTAAATAGCAACAGCAGTTCAACTATGGATTTTATCTCTATGCGAGTCATGTTTATGTCTTTTTTAACATGGAGCCTAGACGGAAGTTCAACTGAAGAAACTCATTGCTCTCCTACATCCACCTACGACACAGTCATTCAGCTTTAAACCACACCTCCACGAAAGCCAATCAGCATCCAAAGTTCATCTTAAAAGGCCTCTGATGAGCACTTGTCTGCTCCTTTGCGCAGGCGGCGGATGCGCTGTGACTTCATTCAGATGACCCCATTTCAACCCACCTCCAGCCCCTCCTCCACCATCGTAGCTAAAACTTCATCAGAGTGTCATTCCTCCCAGACTCTTACTGCTTTCCGCGTCTCATTCCAACCGGTCTGGTGGAAGACCGCCATGTTGAGCCTGGTTCTGCCAGATGTTCCTTCCCAATAGGGAGTTTTCCCTCTCCACTGTCGCTTCATGCTTGCTCATCATGGACAGGTTCTCTCAAACTGTGTTATCCAACTGGGCTTTCATCTTACAGGTCCCTGAGTGAAGCTCTAGTATCAGCCCACTCAGTCCACTGGATCTCCCCATAAAGCTCAGCATACCGTCTCGCTAACCAGCAGTCTACAGACTGACCAACTTCATCTATCTCAACTCCACCACCAGTTTCAGGCCTGGGGGGAAACAGCCCTGTTCTTTGCTCCTGTTCATGCATATCTATCAAAATTCAGCGCTACGTTTCCTGCTGAGGTCTGAGCACCAAGACCAAGTAATTGTATCAATACATTTCTTCTAATTGTCTTTTCTCTTCATGTGGGCTTTTCAGATTGAAATGTATACCACACATAACCTTTTTCTGTGATTATTTTGCATGTTCCTTTGCTATCCCAACTTAGGGGCCCCCAAGTTTGAGAACCATTGGATCAGACTACGTGTAAAAATCATAAATGTAGCTTCTTAAATATAAAAGGGAGAGAAAATATAAAGAACATTAAGAATGACATTATAACAGTATTTTTAGATTTGAAATTATTTTTTTCTAACAATGTAAATCCATACAGTCACATGTGCACTTATATATTTGTATGATGGATGTAAGCTACTGCAATAAAAGTTAAAATACATTCAGGATGACTCACCAGTGGTCCAGGTCTTCCTCTGAGACCCAGTGGCCCTGGAGGGCCCTTCATTGCCAGCTAGGGAAAAAAAGTTAACCTTTAATGAATCCTCATAAATGCCTGATTTAAATCATCTGAGATTATCAGAGCATAATAATATGCTTGTCTACCTTTGTCTGTTGCAGGATGGCCTGAGCCTGAGCCTCCTGTGCAGAAACAATAGCACCTGTCTTTGGGTCCCCACCAGACTGGAACTAAATAGCAGAGAAAAGTATTACTCAACACTCCTCCTAGTGGTCATTATTTTCTACTGGCAGCTAAGATTTCCATAAGAAGACACTGCCTACAGTGGAAATACATGAAACAAGAAATATGAGATAAAACGGGAAAAAAAAGAGAAGAATTTGTCTCAACACAGGATTGCAATAGTTAGATTTAAGTACATCCAGAGCTACTAAACTTGGAAATCTTGGTAAAGGGTAGTTTAATTTAATTAGTATAATAAAATATTATACACCATTAAATCTGGTTAAATAGTGAATCATAGTTACTGCCTTTAAGAGGAACATCTACATTACGCTAACAGTCTCAAGTTTCAGAAAAAATGCTGAAACTTTTCCATTCACCCTGAGGGACTTCTTTATTATGTAATAGCACTGCAGCCACAGCGGCTCAGCAGCAGCTTGCAGAGCCTATAGGAGCACAGTAATATCTGTCTGTTACCGGTATCAGCATTATGTTTCCTGGAGGACCTGGGATCCCATCAGCACCATTAAGGCCCGGCCGCCCAGGAGGGCCCTTAAAGCAAAGACAGAGATAAGGGCAATTACAAAGACACAATGGTATGTTCAGTCATTCATTGAGCAAACAGGCTACAGCACCAACCAGCTCTCCAGGGTCTCCTCGAGGGCCCACCGGTCCTGTGATTCCTGGAGGGCCTGGTTCTCCCTGCGGATCAAACATTCGGTGTAGAGAAAAATTGTTGTTTATCCTCGCAAACCTATCCTACATGTTCTTATGTTGTTGTAAAGTCTGAACCTGAAAAAAAACACATGCTATACCTGAAGAAAAATGTGTTTCTACTTTAAGTATCACAGTTAACGTCACTAACCTCTGGTCCTGGAGGTCCATATGGTCCTGTAATCTGAGTTCCCTGTAAAACAAACACCAAAACAAAGGACTATAATTGTTTTAAAAGTTAAAAGTTCCATTTACACATACTTTGCTGTAAAAAAGAAAAAAAAAAAAAAAAGATTTCCTCCCACATATGTGCAATTTTGACCTTGTAAATTGGATCACAATAACTCCTTTCCTGAAATGCCTCATCCGTTTTACACCTGGTATAAAACATGGCTTAATTTAAAAAAATCTACTATTTTTTTTGGCAGTCCTGACAATATATTTCCTATATGTTGTGGATCATCAGAATCCTTTTAGAAAAATTAGGCCAACAGTGTTTTTGGGGAATTTTCTTTTGGAGTCTGGATCTTTCTGTATGGTTCACTAATGTCCTTAAAATGACTTTGTAACCCCTCTCAGACTGAAAGATATCAATTAATCTGTTATTGACTGATAATCTAATTAATTTATATGTTATGTTACGTAATGTGTTGTCTGCTAGGAGTGACATTTTTTCTGTCAGGCTGATTTGAATAGCTTTGCCTCTGATCCAGTGGTGGAAAGTAACAAAGTACATTTACTTGATTACTCTACTTAAATACTTTTTTTGAGTATATTTACTTTACTTAAATCATTTTTGGGGGAGGGACTTATAACTTTCTGCTCCACTACATTTCCATTAGGAAAGTTACTTGTTCCTTTTTTTCTCAGCTTAGCTTTGCAATTAGCTGTTGATGTTTATCTTTCTTGAAATGCTATTTCAACATGCAAGAGATGGACTGAACTTGGACACCACAGTTTCAGAGATTTGCATAACATTCCACAGACGTGAGACACTCAGGGTAGATATTATTTATAGTTTATAAATCGTATTAAGGCATTAGTTGTTGCCATGTGGCCAAGTTGTTTAGTAGGATGAGTTCTCAGAATCAGAGTTTCGGTTCCTTTTTGGTAATAGATTGTTAAACTTCTATCCCATCTTAAACTTCTATCTCATAGTGAAATTGTGAGGAGAATCAAGAAACTTCTGTTTTCTTTTTGGTTTGTTTTTAGATAAGAGCTAATAATCAAAATAGCTGTCCTAATTTTTTGCACCATTTTTAGACTGAAGTTCTTCACAGGTGGTGTAGGAGAATGGTTGTACGCATCAATACATCAGTTGGTTTCTGAAAGTTACAAGGTTCTGTAAAATTATACAGAAATTTTCTTTGTACTGATATTAGAACATTTGATATGCATTTGAATGACTTTTAGAAGCATTTACTTTTGAATATATATTTTCAAAAATGAGTACTTCAATACTTTAATCTTAGTAGATGTTTGACTGAGTAACATTTACTTGTGGTCGAGTAGTATTTGACTATGAATATCAATACTTTTACTCAAGTACTACTGTTGAGTACTTAGTCCACCACTATAATAATTATTTTAAAATTATATTTTGGATTTGCTGTTTACTCCTGTCTGCCATCAGAATTTGCTCTCTTTCTGAAATATTTATGTGCGCTAAAGTGCAAAGTTATATTTGTAAGAGAAAATATATTTTTTAAGTACCATAAAATCTAACAAGAAGCCTTTTTAGGATAGGATAGGTAAAATTATTGTTCTAGGTTTAAACAGTAATATGAGAGTGTAAAACAAGCACATTTTAGAATAGGATCTCTTTAATTTGTGAACTTAACAAATAAGGTTAAAATGCATTGAGAGAAATATTTTATGGTTGATTGAGAGATTTTAAATAGCTGATACATGTTTTCTTGGTTTAATTTAGTGAAAAGAGTTGAGGCTCCGGAGCAAATTATCAGCACCCAAAAGAAAAGTATTTTTTACACTTATGCAAAAACAAAATGTGCAAATACCAGTAGCATTACTTTTGATCATTGATACAATTTAGCTGTATCATTCCTCCATATTTGCAAACCAATGTAATATTTATTTAAAAATAACATTTAGGAAAAAAAATGCTTTTTGTTTAAAACAATTAAAGTAGTAATACTTAAAATCCTAGAGAGCTCTTTTTTTTTTCGACTTTAATGCTCCTCAAAATGCAAAGGACAAGCTTCCATCTAGTTGAAGCAGTTGTGTCAGCAAATAGCTAAAATCAAAATAGCTATTCATTTAAACCTGCTTTTATCTACAGCCGAGGAGGAAATCGTATATATATCAACTGGTAAACTATGTGAACAAAACATAGGACTTGTTAGAAGTATAAAAAAAAGTGCTTCTTCTCGGCTGTTATCAGCTCAAAGAAATTATTATTGTTACACTGCTGAAATACTGAGGTCAGCTAATAGCACTGTTCAAATGTGTACATCATTAGAATACAGTCTGATGGTTTAATCCAGTGGTTCCCAAAGATTTTCTTCTGGGCCCCACACTTTGGGAACCACTGGTTTAATCGATGAGATTGTGGCAAATGTACCGGTATGTAAAATGTCTAAAAATGTATCTGACATTTACAAGCCTAATTTAGTTTACAGACATTATGTTTAGTGTTGTTGTAAATCCCATTATGTGTGTGTGTGGCTCCTTACCAGACCCAAATAACCCGGCTCTCCCTTCTGTCCTTTCTCTGGTAAGTTCTGATGTAAAATATATTCCAGAGAAACAAACATCATTATTGTGTAAAATTGCTTTTGACATAATTTATATCTAAATAAATGAAACCTTTCACACCACCTGAGTGTTAAGCAAGTACTCCCGTTCTCTCTCCGCAGGTCCGTAGCGATCGTCGTATTCTTCATCATACTCCTCATACTCATTTACATGGTAGTAGTTTGTTGTGTTGTCATAGTCCTCGTACTCTATAAACTGAATAACACACATTTACAGGCTTTTAAATCATGAAGGAAAAAGGAAAAGGAGAGGGATTATGTAAAGGGACAGAAACTAAATTGATTGGTTATTGTTTCCTCCCACTAAGTCTCACCTCATACTCAGTTACATTAGGACCTGCAGTCACAGTGGACACTGAGATGTCATCATAGAAAACGCTGTAGTCAAACTCTTCCACTATGCGTTTCTTAGGTGTTCCTTCTTCCTAAAGACCAGAAAAAAAGAATAAAAACAGGGGACAAAAAACCTGAATGAACTAATAATCTGTCAAACTGTTAGCAGGAAAGGCAAGTATGTTAATAAGCATGACGTCAAAGCATACACTGCAAAAACGTTCTGAAAATGAGAAAAAAATATTCTTCAAATAAATGTATTTAACCTTCATTTGATTAGGAAAATAAGGTGATCTGCCAATGAAATGAGCATTTTTACCCTTGAAATAAAAACATTAGATGATATGCACTTGAAATAAGAGACCGCAGTTGTGTTTTTTTTATTTTAAATGTAAAAGTTTCTCACTAACCTGCTCAATTCAAGTAAAAATGCACTTAATTTAAGAAAAAATGTCTTACTTAGATATACATTTTTTGCAGTGTACGCATGTTAAGAATTATTGCTCCAAAAAACAAAACATCTGTAGATGTTTCACAAATGGTTCTTTGTCATTAAATTTCAAAAGTCTTCAAATAATTGTTCTGCACTTATACCCATGATAAATGGCTGCAGTAGGGACATATTTTAGTATTTAAGTCAAGATAGGTTTAGCTAGCGTTGCCATCTTATTATGATCCTTCACAAGCTTTAGCTTGAAAAGAGCTTAAAGGGCCAAATGAAATGTAATGCAAAATGTTACTTTAGAAAGGGTTTTAGCTGCGGCTATACAGTAATGCAGCTTTTGAATTCCTGAGTGAAATACAAATAATGCTATGAAAGAAAGTAAAAACATCATGATTACTGCAAGGATCGATAAGGTTGGCGGGAAAAATAGAGCGCTACGTGCATCAGGGGGACAATGATGTTTAGATCTAGAGCGGAAATTGCACATTGAATGGATAGCTGTAGAATTGGGGAGTTTTTTTTGTTGAACAATTTCAGTCACATGGATCCATTTACCACGCAGGCCAATGACCCACAGACCAGGTTTGTCACATAGTGCTTTTAAATCTCACGATTGGATGCACGTCTGTCAGGTCTCTTATTAAGCCAGTACAGGCCATTTCATAATTAGGGAAAACTGGTTTGCAACATTTTTTTAATTTTCTTTCAAATACTCAAAACACCCCAAATTAACAAAGACAACACAACTTATTAAGATAGTCTTCACATCCCAAAAGCTAGTTTTGAAACAGAACAATAGATTAAAAAAAACTTATTTTTAAGAGCCGATGCATCTGGAATACTTATTTTATCCCAGTCTCCATTCTCCCCTGCTTTTCAAAACATTTCTCCACACTCTCCTCCCAGTGGTTAAATCACCTTTTATGTCTTCATCTAATGATATTAACTTTATGTAAATAATTCTGAGATTACCACATTACCATGGTGTTATGCACTGATACCAAAGCTAAGCATTCCAGACAATACATGACACTCTCTTGCAACTTTTGATAGCCGACATCTGATTTTGTTTTTTGTTTTTTTGGACAGATATATTAAAAAACACTGTATAACTTTCAGCCACTAGGGGAGCTAGACTTTTGACCTTCAGGTTTAGCTGCCCTAAAAGCAACTGGTAACTGCATTGCTGCAAAAGTTTCCCTCCATGTTTTATAATCCAATAGAAGACCACTATTGAGTAGTCATGGAGTTATTTTTAAAAACGAGGCCACGTTAAATCCTACATCTAAGAACCATAAATATGTCTGATCACGTAAATTTCATATCTGTTTTGTTGACTATCAGCATCTTTAGCATAGGTAGCTCTTATATTTAAGGGGAGCCCAGACAGTCGTAAAGCAGTGTTCTGGGTCACATGAATCATTCACAGATGGATCCAACCCTCTCAAGTTACATAGGTGCATCTTAAAGGAGTCAAGCCTGCACATACTGTAGCATGCTCATGTTGACCTGCAGTATCATAATTTAATATACGGTATTTAGGTCAAGAGTTACGCTGTGTTAATTTGAATTTAACCATTTTCAGCTATATGTCAAAAGTATAGACAAAATAATGTTGTAAAAATGATAAAATATGCCGTTAAATCACTGTTCTCTTAAATTTGACCATTGATTCCTTTTGTAAAATACAGTTCTGGCAAGGCCTCAGAGAAAAAGCTAAGCCAAATTAAAAGTGTGTGTGGAGTTGTAAGCCAGATGGGGAATAAAACAGCAACAGAAGGAAGTGATCTCAAACTTTTCATAGAAGAACTTTTCAACGAAACAATGAAGCCAAATCATCTTTCTTTGATTATAGTTAAAGCCAGTAGTATAAAAACTAAAAGATATTTTAGAAAATTGAATCTCTGACATGCATCCGGCTATTTGCAAAGTACAGCAGTAGCATCTTAATTCTACCTTTTGAATGAAGGAAACATACCTCTTCAGTCTCTATTGAAATGCTTTCATAGGGTAAAGCTGAATCACAGTCTGGGATGTAGTCTTGGCAGTAGGTTTCTGCTGCTCTGGGATCATCGACTAGAAGCAGTTGCTGGATTTGTCCCTATTCAAAAGCAAAAAGACACATAAGAAAACCCTAAACAATCAGGAATGCAGACAAACCATTGCCTGCAGGTGTCACAAATATTCCTCATTTAACAGCATGGTATTAATAAAATAAATGACCAAGCACACACAGATGTCTGTCATGTCTTTATCTTTAAATGTGTTCAAATAGTCAGATCAAAGTGGCTCAACATGCTGCTTTTATTGTTGCTCTGCAGTTAATCGTCTCCAGAGCTTTAGTCTCTGGAGGTCCCAGTGCATTTCTTCCACAAAACAATCTTTTCCTCTGTCTGTTTTACATGTGCATATACATAAGCAGTCCGAACAAAATGCAGCAAGGAGCTGCATGGATGACCAGATGTCCCATTCCACACGATTCAAGGTCACAGTCTGCACCTGATGTCTGTCAAAATAACCTCAGGGTGCAATCAACAAGCCAGAACCAACTCATAAACATCCAGAGGGATGTAAGCAGCAAAGTGTTCTTGCAGGTTGGGTTGTGTTCATGAGGTGTACTTAGAGATTAGCTAAAAAGGTAAATCTTCACATAAAGATGTTACTCCAGAACTCTGGCATGTAAAGCTTGTGAAAGCTAAGAAAGTTGCATTTCATTCTTACAACCACTGGAGGGTGTTATAGAGGGATAAGCATTTTTTTTTATATGACAAATCAATTAACAATGCAGTTGCAACTAGAGATACTTTCTAGGGACCCTTTCAATGCTTATCTTCATAGAGGACAAAGATAAAATATAAAATATTCATATTCACATAAAATATTCAAATGGGCAAAAGAATAAGATAAGCAGAGACATAGACCTACTTATTTAGACAATCATCTTCTACTATATTATTTGCCACTTCGTCAGTAAAGAGTTCTTTAACACTGTTAGATGTACATCTGACTGTTTGGTATTTTGTCATTTTCATAGATTCAACTAAAATCAAAGGAACAAAGTTCCATTGTGATAGCAGGCCAATAACATTTGCAAAGTTGTCTGTTATGTACAGATTGAAAAATAGTTTATCCACAGACTGTATCAGCCCTTTAATGCCTTAATAATATTGAAGTTAGTGTTATGTGATGTAACAAACAAAAAACCTACAGAATAAACCTAAAGAATTATGAAAACATAAAAAGAAGGTCCTGGTCATTGGAAAAACAATCAATTTGAAATAACTTCAAACAATATCAGTGTTAATAAGTCTCATGGCTCTACACCGAGATAGTGTGAAATAGTGTTTTATTATTATTATTATTATTAATAAAGTACAAAATATTATGACTTACTTAGAGGCTTAGACAACTTTTATGGTCATTTTGTATACACAGAGTATATACAAAACGAAATTTCGTCTTGTAAAGCTTTTCATAACATTTCCATTCCATAAAGTGCAGCAGTGATCAAATGTAAACAGTGTTAGAGAAAAAACATGGTGCAAAAAACACATCGATATGGAAGTTCAGAGCATTAAATACAAATGGTGCAATTTTGAAGTGTTTTGGTTTGTCAGTGTGATGCAGACATGCAGATAAAATCGAGATTACATTAAAAACAGAAGAAATAGTTAAGAGCTCCATCACTTGGAGCAGTTCCTAGCCATAGGAAGCCACATCTGCAATGATGCACCTCAATGAACACAGCAAACTCAGAGTCTAATGTGGTTTAGGGACCCTACTAGAATGCCTCCAGGGTCCATATTTGGGAGGTTTTCCCGGCAGATTTCCCTGGAAGGCAGCCAGAGCCTAGATTAGATCTAGCTGGATGAACTATGTATTTCTTCTGGTCTGGGAATACCTTGGGATTCCCTGGAATTAGCTGAAATGTGCCATTATCAAGATACATTTCCACAATATGTGAGTCAGATTGGTCAAAAGTGAGGTCTAATTTAGTCCTCTAAAATTAGAAGAAAAAATAACTGCTAACCTCAGCATCAACTGGATTCAAACAAACTGCAGCATAGCATGCTGAGTACACATACATAATTCAGTTAAATTAGATAAATGCTTAGAATGGGTCATGATCTTTCACTGTTACCATTTTTATTTTCAGTGATCCTTTTTTTCTGACTTTTTCTGATTATAGTTCAATCTAAGATTTACTTATTAATTTACCCTTGTATTCAACCTTTATGTCTTTGTAAGATGCTTTCCAGTGTTTCTGTGTTTCTCAGAACAGCTCCTGTTTTTATAAAGCTCTCTCATCCTCAGCTCCCTGCCTTATCCTTCTGCTCATCTGTTTCTCATACGTATATGATTATTCACACCTGCTCTCCATGCCTCTTCTCCTCACTCTTCACTGTGTATAGGCTGCCTGGTTTTCTCTTTTCATTGATGGTTTAGTCTGTCTCTTTCTTTGTCATTACCATTTATTTTGTCTATGCCCAATGCCCAGTACCTTCTATTTAATTGAAACCCTTTTTTATCATCAACTTATTTATGTATTCACCTCACCTCTTCCTATTATCGTCTGAATTTGGATCCTGTTACAAACCAAAGACGATAGAATGGCGAAGTAATGGTTAACTTTTATGTGGGACTAAGATCATGATTTATTGACCACAAGCAGTTGAAGCTTACCACAAGGTGTTCTGGTCATATGAAACTAGAATGTAGCTTTTTGGCTAAATACATGTCACCTTGAATACTACAATTAAACATGGTGATGCTAACATCATGTTGCAGGGATGTTTTTGTTTTCCAGAAATAGTTAACCTGCTCACTAATGACAGGGACATGGATAAGGACATGGAGCAATGCAGGAAGAAAAAGGTTAGACAATGCAAAATCCTTATGATATAGAGGGAGTTCACCTTTAGCAGTATAGCAACCCTAAACGTACAAGAAAGGTCTACAAATACGTGTTTTAAATGTGGTAGAATGGCTTAGTCAAAGTCTAGTCCTAAATCGGATTTCAAAGGTTTATATCTTGTTCACAGATACTCTCCCTCCAGTCTGAATTCTTCATAGTTGCACTGTACAAGATCACTTCAGAACTCAATCTTCTGAAAGTGCAAAACTGTTACCCCAAATATTTGTAACCCATATCCATGTAGCCCGTAGTGTGACGTACCAAAAGATACATAGAAAGACTGGCTAATTAGCCCAGCTTTACTTTCAAGATCATTATTTGCAACAGAACTTTAAAAGTTGTGCATCATATTCCTCTTACTACACAATTATGCACCACATATTATATACAATCAAGTAAAACATTACAAATACATGGGATGATTCAAAAGAACAAGTAGTTTTGCAACATTGTCTTTTTATATTTTAACATATATCTATAATTGTAAACTATTTGATTTATTCTAATTAATGGTAAGGCTCACCTCAAAAACCTCCTCATCCAGCAGACGGGTTCCAAACACAGTAACTCCATCAGTGCTGACATGGGGATCAGGACCTCTGAGCAGTTCCAGAGTCTCCACTTTCTCACAGTCTAAGTAGAGGGTTACTGACTGGCCCTCCACGCTGTATGCGATTCTGTGCCACCTGGGAGCAAAGGAGAGAAGGAACTCCATCTGTCTTACATTTTGCATGCAAAAAATATTGTATGTATTGTTTTTTTAAATTAGTTGAAAAGCTCTGTGTTGAACAAAGAAAATGCAACAAAAAGTGTGCTTGTAGATGCCCGTGTAGTTACCCACTTGCCATCAGCCACATTAATCTTTCTGAAGGTGGGGTAAAGTTCTGGAGTCGGCTGACCCTCATGATCTTCATACAGGAAAACAGGAGAGCGAGCAAGCTCTAAACCCAACTGCTGTGTTCCCTGAGGAATACCAGAAACAGAAAGGTTCAAGGAAATACATTTTTTTTTGTCATACCAGATTAATACTTTGCATGGAAAAGCTGCTCTTTTTCTTTTTACATTGAATTGTTTATAAAAGTTGTTCTTTATATCTAATACACTGAATCATTATTGTAAAAACTCAACCAATTAAAACTAAAATCTTTAAAACTAACTATACTACAATGTGAATTGAGCATATGTATTTTCCAGTATATACCTGGGTGTCATACAAGGAGAGAAGAAAGACTTGTGATCCTTTTACAGCTTTAACTGTCGTCATGAGTGAGAAATTTACAGGAAAGGCTAAATCTGGAGGATGGGTGGGTGAGAGAAAAGGAAAAAAAACAATTATGCAACTGGCTTAACTTTTTCAACACTAAATAAACCACATGGAGTTTTATCAAAACTAAACCTGGAAAGAGTTGCTTGGTGGGAGCGCTCAGCTGGATCTTCTTATTGATCTTAAACGAGAGGTCAGTCTCCTCTCGTCCTTTCCTGCTGGTGCACAGTCCTGCTTCCAAGGACACGCCCTCCATGTTCTCCGAAAACTCCAGAGTCTTTATGAGGTCAATAGGATTAGCTACAAGGATAGGTAACACAACATTACTGTAATGCAATGGCATTTGCAGGTTTTATTATAACCTCATTTTAAGATTAATAAAACCTGAATTAAAACTGTTTTTAGCAAAACATCTAAATCTGCCATGTGCATGACTTTGGGAGCATATTCTGGAGTCAGTTTTGTATCTATAACAAACACTGCTTCAGTTTTTGCTTATATAGAAAATAATCAGTACCTACAGTGCCAGTGGTTCTTATGCCAAGCAATGTCCAAAGATAGCAACCAAAAACAAGAATACACACAAGTAACTCAATTTAAAATACTTCTGTTGTTCCAAAAGGAAATTATTGTCTGGGTTTTATGGTGTTGCTATTGTTTAAAGAACACATTGGTATAAAAAAAAATACCCACTGTGACAGAGGAAACTAACAAAAGCTTCATCATTCTTCAAGTTTTCCACAGACACTTTAAAGGTAATGGATCAACATCAGTCAGTTGTGATATTGCTTAGGATGTTTAAGCACTCAAACTCACAGGAGAGAGCGAGTGTAGCACAGGTTTCATTTAATATACTGAAGGGTACATAATATAGAAATGTATTTGGTATATCAATTTTCTTGTTAAACAATAACTTTTAGTCACTGAAAGCATTTAGGTTTAATTAGTTTTTTTGTTTAGTCATGTTTTAACAATAGATTACATAAAAATAAATAAAAAATAATTTAATAATAAAAATAATTGATTATACAAAAATAGATATTATTAAAATAAAAAAATCAGTTATCAATATAATTAGCTTCTTCTAAAAATTTTAACTTGTAACTTGGCCATGGCCTCAGCTTCTTGACAACTTCATCTCACTGTTGTCTGTGCCTGTCTTGTTAGATCTCACTGCTGCATTTGATGCAGTTTATCACAATACTCTTACAGAAAGGCTCAGAGGTGATGTGGGAATTAAGGAGACAAAAATAGCCTAACACTAGTTTTCCCCCAGTTGTTAAAAACAGCAATAATCAAACCAAAAGAGAAGCTTGGACAAATTGGTCCTGCAAAACTACAGGCCCACCTCAAACCAAGGTTATTGAAAAAGTTGGTTTCAACAGTTAAATGCCTTCTTAAAAATCAGCAGCTGCTTTGATGTCTATCAATCAGGTTTCCGTGGTACCGAGAGTGCCGTGGTTAAGGTGTTCAATGACATACGTATAAATGCAGACTGTGGAAGAACAGCAGTGCTGGTATTACTGGACCTCAGTGCAGCGTTTGATACTGTTTATCAATTGATTCTATTAGAGCGTCTGGAAAACTGGTTTGGCCTATGTGGTGCCACGCTGGATTGGTTTAAATACTACCTGAAGAACAGAGATTTCTATGTGTCAGTAGGGAACTGTAAATCAGAGACCAGAAAAAACACATGCGGGGTTCCTCAAGGCTCCATTCTGGGGCCCCTCCTATTCAACATCTATATGTTCACCTTAGTTGAGATTATAGCCAACAACAAGATCAGTTACCATAACTATGCAAATGACAAGCAGCTTTGATTTCAATATCACCATTAAATACAGTTTAAATACAGCATTGGTTAGATGCTTGGAACAGATCAATATGTGAATGTGCCATAATTGTCTCAAACTGAATAAACAATGATGAAAAAATTGATTTGATTGATCATTGTTCGTTAGTAGAATCCATTTCTGAAACAGCATCCTCGAAAAAGGTCCAACAGGCAGCTGCAGCTGATCCAAAAGGCAGCTGCCGGTGTTCTCACTAGAACTAACATCCGAACTTCTGAAGTCCTTACACTGGCTACCTGTAGCTCAGACAATTGACTTTAAATTCCTTCTGTTATTCTATAAATCACTGAATGGATCAGAACCTCAGTATAACAGATTTGTTACCAGTGTATCAACTTCCCAGATCACTTAGGTCTTCTCGTTCAAGCATACTCTGTACACCCAAAACTAGAACCAAACATGGAGAAGCAACATTTAGTTCCTATGCTCCAATTATGTGGAACAAATTCAAAGAAGACTTTAAAAGTCTTGAAAGCCTGAGTTCTTTAAGTTAAAAACCCATTTGTGTAGAACCAACTTTGAGCGTTGAAGGTAAAATGGGAACTGAGGTATAATTAATTTATGGTTGTGATCCAACTGTTTTATTTGCTTTATTACCTCCTTTTTTCATGTTTTCTCATCTTTATAATCACCTTAATAATCACGCTCAAGCTTACATCCAAGATTTGATTGTTCATTTTTTGCTTCTAACACAGCACCTCAATGTCAATTTTCACTTTTACTAGTGGTTCTTAGAATTTTTAAAAGTAGGTTCAGCTTTTCTGTGTTCGTTTTGTCTGCTTGTTGCGTTTACCCCCCTGTAGGCCCCCGTGAGCAAAAGGATGCTCAAACTGAGCTTGGCTCTGCTAGAGGTTTCTGCTGTCGAAACTGAGTTTTTCTTCTCTACAGTTGCTGAATACATGTTCAGTGTAACGGATTCCTGCAATCAACTACACAATGCAAGCAAATGTCTACTATCACTACATACACATCCAGGAGGTGTGAATCCTGCATACTCAGTGGCTCAATGTAATCAGTGGTTTTATTTAAATAGAAAACTTTTATCCAATCTGTCTGCATGTTTTAATGAAACTCTCTCAATCGTGTGTCTTGAGATGACATGTTGTGAATTGGCACTTTAAAACAGAACTGATAACACCTTGCTGAAAATGTTTAAATGATTCCCAAAGCAACACTTACTGTTGAAAACTTTCAAAAGTGACTGTACTAATTCACCAGAATAAATACATTTTAACAGAGACTGGTGGTTAAACTAAGTAAAATATGAACAACGAAATATAATATATATATATATAAAAAACAGATGTGTACCGGTATAACAGTGTGTGTTCTTTAGTCTAAATTTGACCACAAATCCACAACATGTGCAAATATTCAAATATGAACTCTGCTTAGGTAGGCTTAACAAAGTAAAGATGAGGCATGAAAAAAGGCTTTGAAAGGAGGGGGGGGGGGTTCTACGATATATTCAAAGTGTAGAGAGATTGGAATGGAGAGGGGAGATAGAAGAAATAATAGATACCATGAGTTAAGAGGACATGCCTCTACTGGAGTGGCTTCTTCTGTAGAGACTTACGTAATCCCTCCATTTCCATATGCTGCACACCTTTAGAAACACATAGACTCCTGTGCATGTGTAGGCACACCTCAAGCTGGAAAGTTGTCAAGATCTTCATGCCAGATGCAGTCATTGCCAATTAAGTTTATCGGTCTGTTCATCCATGTGTCTGCTTGTCTGTCAGCTTGTAACTGTGTCTATCATCGGCCTGGCATCAGGTCATTAGCACATATAATTAATGCAATCATATTTTGGCTCTGATTCATGCACCGATATGGACAAATATCTGTTACTCTTTTAATTATTTGCCCAGATATGTTTTTACATGTTTCTGCTTCCTTTGATTACTTTAACTGCCACATTAAGAGTTTTTATTGTTATTATTTCCTACAACATACATTGTAATCAATAATGTATTTATACCTGTTTAAGTGTTTTTATATGCAGGCATTGCTTAAAATGTAATAGAAAAAAATAACCCAAATTGATCTGAAAATCTAATTATATCTGACCTAATTCTCTTTGTTGAAAAGCTGGAAAAGCACTGCCTTGTGAATTGCACCTCAAATGTTCCTTGTTTTGAATCAACAGAACATAAAGTGCCTGACAAATCCTTTATCTTTTATACATTTGGTAATAATACACCTACGCAATTCAATGTATTTGCATGACTCTGAGATGAGGGACTAACAAAAAGAACTGCATAACTGAAGTGAAAAAAGGTTCAATGTAAGAAATCAGAAAGTTTGACTTAAATTGTACTACTTTTAGCAATATCCCAGGATTTCAAATTACCCTGGAGTTCTGTTAAGTCCATGGTCCGAAGAATTGAAAGAGAATGTGTCAAGTTATGTTGAAGTTTGTAGAGGACCCACAATCAAATATGGAGGCAGAGGTGGGGTCTTGCAGATTTGATGAGGGTGGTGGCAACAGAAGCATAGAAATAACCAACCAGGTAACAGAGGCACCAGCACAAAGGTAACACAAAGTTTAAGGAGGAAATGAAGATGATCCAGCAAATACTAACTGCAGAGGTGGAGTTTATATCCCAAACAGAACAATGAATGGAGTAATTTACTAATTAGGAGCAGGTGTGGACAGAAGAAGCTAGAAGGGAGCAAAGGGTAAATGAGAGGGGGGCTAGGAGGAACAGAGAGTAACCAGCGAATACAACAGTGCTTAAATTTAAGGAACGGAAAGAACTCAAATAAAGCTAAAGGGGAGTTAAACTAATGACTAGAAAATACAGAATAACCAAGGGGAAAATAGAGGATAGGGGAAGGGACTGCAGATAACTTAAAATAACTATGATGCCATGGAAAAGATAATCTAAAGACAACTGGAAAAAATTAATGGCAAAATAAAACTAGAGGAAAGGTTTAAAAAATGCTGAATTGGAGATAACTGAATAACCACCAAAAAGAATAATTAAACTAAGAAGTAATTTAATCAGAAACAAAAAAAAACTGGAGCAGAAGATCATGACAGTATGGTCCAAATAAGCAACTTCCAAGCTATTCACCTAAATCTATCCTCCTAAATCAGAGGTTTGCACCATTTACGAACATTTTGCCATAAATAAAATACAACTCATTTAGAGCTAAAAAATATGAACTTACATTTTAATTTAATATTAATTTCTGGAAAATATCTACTACAGGAAATAAAATGCAAAGAAAGAATATAGCCTTCGCAAAAAAAAAAAAAGAGAGAATGGATAAAATTGTTCTAAACAAAAGGTTTGATTCTGCAAAATAAACTAGACTTGAGCAGCAGGACAACAACTCTATTTAAAGCCTACACCATTTCATCAAATTAAAATGATGTAAAAGTGCTTTTCAAATATACTCTCTATCAAAACTTACTGCTTGAGCAGTTAAAAAAAAAAT